CTCGCTGCGCAACGGCTTTGGTTTTGGGGGTTACGCAGAAAGAAGCGGCTTCGGCCGGGTTTTGAATCAGTTTACCCTTTTGTGCATTGGCTTTTGAATACGTGTGCGTCTGTATGTGTTCGTAAGCGTCTGTGTTTGCTTACGTGTAAGTACCTGTGATTTCTCATGTCCTAGAAGCCACATTTGCTTTGGGATGAAATCTCCAGAAGAGATGCGTCAGCAAGCACACATTCAGGTGGTTAGCAAAAACTTGTACAGTCAGGACAACCATCACTCTCCCCTGCAGTACGGAGTGCTTGACCATCGCATGGTGAGAACTCCTTTTTTTGCTTGTTTTCTTTTTTTTAATCTTTCCGTGGATTTACTTGAAATACTTGAAAGCAACGTGAGATGAAGAATAACATTTCTTGTTCGTTTAAAAAAACGTGCAAATGTGTCTCTACTTGAATTGGGAGGGTTATCAGTTGCATTGGTCTCCGAAGTTGCTCTGAAATTTGGAATTTGACGTGTACTTTCTTCCTGGTTTTGAATGATTCAGGGAAGCATTCTTCTGAGTCGGTAGACAAATTTATTCAGCTCGGTTGCTGGGAGACAGAGATCCATCTACAAAATGTCTTACTGTAGATCAGGGGATTATAAATCTATTGCAGTAGCTGGGTGACTTAATGGCACTGACGTTAGTAGGGGCAGTGTGTGCAAGACATTTTTCTTCTTAAAGCTTGGGCTGAGTGTAATGCTACTGGCATACTTGTGATGCAGGGGGAAAAAAAAGCTGTCTGGGTCTGCTGTCGAGATTGATGAATACCTTTAGAGCTATTGTAGTATCTCCCGTTTATTCATTTAGCTGATTACAGCTAAAACGTTTCTTTGGTTTTTTTCTTCCCTGAAGGGAACCAGTGAAAAAGACCGTCCCTGTGAAACATGTGGAAAAAATTTAGCTGATTGTTTAGGACATTATGGGTACATTGACTTAGAACTCCCGTGTTTCCATGTTGGATACTTCAAAGCTGTGATAGGCATCTTACAGGTAAATGTGTATGTGCTTCATCATCACTATGTAGACCAGACAAAGGAAACGATCAGAAAAGCTGATGCTTGAAAGATAATAGTTGAGAAGACCAAAATAAGGTTGTATTGTAAATTTTGTCCGTTCTCTATGCATCTGTGTATCATAAAATGGGTTTATTTAAATATTGATCTTAATTATGTGTAAGCATCAGTGTTACCATGTGTGGTCTCAGACTGATTAACTTAATCCATTATCTTTCTGTAATAGTTTGCGTTAAATGTCTCACTTGTATTTGCCGTTTAGGACGTTCCAGTAAATCAAAGCCCTGTTTGCCTGGTATGGATTTTTAAGATCCTGCAGAACTCGAATGAGGATTTACCTCATTGACAGATGTTTTTCCATGTACTTATTTTTGTGTATCTATGTGACTCAACCTACTGTATATGAGTTGGTCTTTCAGCCAAGACTGTATATTTCATTCAGAAAACTGCATCCTGATGAGGAACTCAGAGTAGAGCAGGTTAATCTTGGTTTCTGTTACAACCCTGCATGTTTCTGTTAAACTGTTTACATGTGTTTATGTTTAAGATGATTTGCAAAACCTGTTGCCGTATCATGCTTTCTTTGGAAGAAAAGAAACAGTTTTTGGATTATCTGAAGCGACCTGGCCTTACGTATCTTCAGAAGAGAGGACTTAAAAAAAAAGTGTCTGAAAAATGCAGGAAAAAAACCACTTGTCCGTACTGTGGTGCCTTTAATGGTGAGTGTTGGCCTTAGCAGTCAGTGATAATTGTGTACAGTGCTGGTTTTTACCTTGCCTTGTGGTAGGCATCGAAATCTTGTATATCTTTGTCTGTTCCACAGCTAATGTGTGTTAAGAAACAGGCAATTGCATTTTTAATCCCAAGAACAGGATTGTACGCATCTTATGTACATGTAGAGACACTGTCCTAGTAGCTTGCTTTGTCTGTTGGGGTATCCTTTTGTGACAATAACCAATATTTGATACTTGCATAGTGTCAAAAAGCCTATTTAACATGGCTTTAAAAATATTTGAAGTTACTGTCAGTGATGAATACCTTAGAAGCATTTGTAGGCCTTGTAGTTTTGACTGAACGTCATTTTTTGTAAATGTATTAAATTACCTTTTGTAAGTTTAGATGTTCTTGTCATCCTCTGGAAAGGTATGTTCTGCAGGTGTAGCTTAGATATATTGGAGTTTTGATGCTATTGAGTTGCACTGGAATTTGTTCTTTGGGGCAGAGGATCTTATGCAATAAGATTTCACATTTGTTTTTCAAAATACATTTTTTTCCTCATATATGCTGATCAAGTAACACTGCTCTTAAAGGATTTGCTGCAGGATTACAGATTTATAGTGAATGGATAATTCATAACTTGCATTAAAATTTTGCTGTTTACATTCATGAGCGTTCTTTTTATATTCTGATGATCAAAGGTCTGAACAAATAGAAAGGAAGCTTCTTTGTTGTGAGTGTCATGTGTATGCATAAGGGCCATGCACAGTAGCAGTTTACGAAATGAAGTGCTCAGTAACTTTCTCAGGAAGAAAAATTGAGTTTGGAAAGCATTTGTACTAGTCTGTGAAAGTTTTGCCAATACTGATACCTGCATGGAATGAAAATACTTGTCAGATTTTTCTCGTAATTCACTTCCAAAATTACTTTAGAAGCTAATTGGATAATATATAAATGGCACTTCTCAGTGCTGTTTTTAGTATAGGAACTTTTACATTTTAAAAAAAAAGTCTCTGCTGTGATTGAAGGGGAACTGAATGAAAGTATAGACTGAGAAAGAGTACCCTCTTTCATCTTCAGAAGCCACCTCATGCTCAAGGCACAATAAGCCAGCAATACAAGGAAGACGGCTCTGATTGTCCTCTTCTTGTTTTGTGAATTTAGGAAACTGGTTAATAAAGCTGATAAACTTTATTTGATTATTATGTTCACAGAAGGTATACATAATTTTAGAAGAGCAGCTGACTTGTTTTACCAGTTTTTATTTTTAAAAACATTTATTTGCTCACAGGAACTGTGAAGAAGTGTGGTTTATTGAAAATAATACATGAAAAATACAAGACCAATAAGAAAGTGGTAGATCCAATAGTATCCACTTTCCTCCAATCCTTTGAAACTGCCATAGAACATAATAAAGAAGTAGAATCCTTACTGGGAAGAGCTCAGGTAAATTTTATTATCGCTTACATTTCCTGCTAGTCTTTGTGCGTGAAATAATACTCCTCAAAGGTATTTAATGTAGCTGCTTAAATCTTTGTAGTGGTCTGACATTCTCACATGCCAGAAAGACAGTTGAAGAATGTTTATATGCACTGCAGTAACATTAACCTTGCAAAAATGAGAAACTTATTGTGTTAGTATAATCTGATACATAGCTTTGTGCCTGTAAGGAGAGGGGGTGTTCGTGCTGTAGTGCTAGCGATATTCATTGCTATGCAGAGGTGAATCTAGGTGTATGAAACTTCCATAAGCTAGAAGAGGAAGAAGAAATGTTGACCCGTAGAAACTTTGTATGTACTCACAGATTTACTTTAAGTGTGGGATGATTAGAGTACACAATATTTTTTTGGGTTGTTGTTCTTCAAAAATATTTGATATTGAGGAGAGAGGAAACTTAATCAGATAGCCTTTTTCTTTCGTTCAGCTTGGCATTGTATGGAGTTCTATTTCGTTCTGCTTTTTCTTGGCAAGCCAGGCAATTCTTAGATATTTGGGGGAAAAAAAGTAATGGGTATCTAAGAGTTTCAGCAGTAGTTATACTGAGAGGAGAGAAATGGAGTTTTAAAAATAATTTTTAGAGAAAGTATTGTAAATTATAAATATTCATTTTATTAGTAAAAAATCTGAATCTACTGCAAGTTTGTTGTGTAACAAGTTGACTGAGCTGCTTTGAGAAGTGACTATGAAATGCTCTCAATAAGTACTTTAAAAAGAGAGTAACATGGTAAGAAGTAAACACTGATAATGAAGAAGGAAAAAGAGAAGGAAAGCAGACATAAGTCAGTATTTGTGTCACTAAAAATGTTGGTTCGGAATAAACAGACTGAAACGTAATTTTGTTGGCATTAATGGTAGTTCTCTCTTTGTCTTTTCTACTTTTATGTGAACCATCAGTAAATGAGGGAAGGAGGGAAGAGTTTAAAGTTGTTTCCTGATGATTTGTTCTCCCCGTTTCCCAATGAATTTTGTAGGAAAACTTGAATCCGTTAGTAGTGTTGAACCTCTTCAAAAGAATCCGAGCAGAAGATATCCCTCTGCTTCTGATGAACCCAGAAGCAGGTAAACCTTCAGATTTGATCCTCACACGACTGTTAGTGCCACCACTGTGCATCAGACCCTCTGTTGTGAGTGACTTGAAGTCTGGCACCAACGAAGATGACTTGACAATGAAACTGACAGAGATCATTTTCCTCAATGATGTAATAAAAAAGGTGAGTCACCCTTGAAGCTGGTAGAGACGGCTGCCTTTGGAAAGATTTGGTTAGAATTGAGTGTAGTAACTGGTTTTACTTGTCTCACTGCTCACCAACTGAAAAGCAGGCTCTACTGCACTGCTGTGTCGTTCAGCCTTTTATTGAAAAAAATAGGGAAACTTGCTTCAAATGGAGCTGGCTAACTGGCTGTTTGTGTAATCTTTGTATAGTAATAGGACCTGCTGTAGATGCATTGGTGCCTTGGGAGAAGGGGTTTTTTTTCTTTTTAGTTCTGGTCCATAACCTGTCATTTTTTTTCCCCCACTGTGACTATTCTTTTTTGAATGATCACATACAGGAAATCATTCTATAATATTCAGAAATTACCCCTTTACCTACTATTAGACTTTTTCATCTTCCTTGTAGATCTTCCCACTCTTTTCTAAATTTTGGCCCTTTCTTTATTCCACCATCTGTTCTTAGGACAGAGCCTCTCCTCTAGCTGTTGTTACTAAAATGGGTATGAAGTTTTATTTAACAAACACCTATACTCAATAGCAGAACAGTTCTTTGCTAATTTCACATGTGTTGCTATGTTTATTTCCTGAACTGGCTGACTTATTTTGTTTAGCATAGGATATCAGGAGCCAAAACACAGATGATTATGGAAGACTGGGACTTCCTTCAACTGCAGTGCGCCCTGTACATTAACAGTGAGCTCTCTGGGATTCCTCTCAATATGGCACCTAAAAAATGGACTAGAGGTTTTGTTCAGAGACTGAAGGGAAAGCAAGGTTTGTCTGGAAAGTTGTTTTAATTAAGCCAGAAACATTTGCTGTTTCAAAGCATCCCTTTGTTGTTGTTGTGTTATGCTCTTGTGACGTACCTTGAAAGTTGTTCTAACGTACTGTCTTAATGCAAAAGCTTTTTTACAGACAACACTTTGAAAATGCCTTTTTGTAAAACAGTTTTAACTTACCTGTTTTGTTAGGTCGATTTAGAGGCAATCTATCTGGAAAACGAGTGGATTTCTCTGGCAGAACAGTCATTTCACCTGATCCTAACTTAAGAATAGATGAAGTAGCAGTGCCTATTCATGTTGCTAAAATACTAACCTTTCCTGAAAAGGCAAGTAGTCTAGAACCAAAACCTTTTCTATGTGTTTTTTTTACCGGGTATCACTGTTGTCCTTCTTGATAACCTGAACGGAAAAGGAAGACGAAAAGGAGTAAATGTAGTGATTTTATGTTCAACGTGCTGTTCAGTGACACTTTGCCAGTTCCATTGTTGCTCGTAAGCGGAGGCTGTAGTATCAGATAAATGCAAGTACTGTGGAGGCCCACTGTGTATGGAGGGAGACATCAAGAGAAAATGATAGTTTTACGTTTTTTCTCTCCTCTCTTTTTATTTTTTTTTTAAACTTGTGTATAGCTTCATGTGTTCATTGGTGTATCTGTCTAAGGAGTGGATGAGGTATTTTTATTTCTAAATTTATTTCCCAGATTTTTCATTTACTTTTTCTCTGATGCTCTGCTCCAAGATTGGCTTAAAGTTTCCTCCTCTATGCTGTCTTGCCTGTTCTTTCAGAGGCTGGGGGCGGGGGGATGTTAGTTAAGCCTAAAATTGGAAAACAGAAAACACCACAGAATGCAAGAGGTCCTGAAATGTTTCACTTGATCCTGATCGAAGACTTTATGCAACAGGTGAACAAAGCAAATATTAATTTTATGAGAAAACTTGTTCGAAATGGTCCTGATGTTCATCCTGGAGCCAACTTCATTCAGCAAAGGCACACTCAGATGAAAAGGTACCGTGGTCATCTGTAATAATTCATCTCTGCTTGTCAGCTTGTTCTTACTGCTGCGTGAAACCAGTTGCATATCTATAGGAGTTAAAATTAATTTTTATTTTTTAATACCCTTCCTAAATGACAGCAATAAAAATTTGTCATTATCTAAAAAGAACTTTTACAATAAACCTGAACAGATAATCTGTGGGATTTAAACTTAAGTGCATATACTAATGATAGTGAACTGCAATTAGATTGCTTTAGGACTGAATATCTTTTATTTGGTATAATAGAGGCTAAAATGTTATGGATAATGTAGAAGCTTGAATGAGATCTGTGTTCTGGGAAATACTGAGAGGCATAGTGTAAAGATATTTGAATGGCTCTACTTTATTGTTTTGGTTTATTTGTGCGCGCTCATTAGCAATTGTTGATGTGTTGGCTCAACGCTGCTCTCTCTTGTCCTGTGAGCACTGGAGCTTTGCTGTGTAATGATGGATGGAAGCAGGCAGCGTGGAACACTTTGTACCGGCTGTTGTCGTGGAAGGGCTGATCTGCAGTCAGTTTATGGATGATAAGTGATTGTATACGAGTGAAACTCCCTATTTTCTGATATGGTTACAAATTTTCATGTTTTTATGGACAGGCTTTTTTCTGACTTCTAGCAAGAACAGCATTTTTGTTAATTAACACAGCAGATTCATTAATTATTAAAGACTTTAACAGGGCTGATGTTTAATGATCAGTTTATCCTCTAGTCATTGCCTTACAAATACTCCAACATTTAATGGAAGGACTTACATTATAAACAGGGTTTCTTTTCAGTTGTCTGTATGTCTTTATGACTTTATTTTTTCTGTCTCTATTGCCATGTATTACTATAAGATTTCTGAAATATGGGAACCGAGAAAAGATGGCCCAGGAGCTCAAGTTTGGTGATATTGTGGAGAGGCATCTTATAGATGGTGATATAGTACTCTTCAACCGACAACCCTCTCTACACAAGCTGAGCATCATGGCTCACATTGTAAGTTCTTACACAATCTAGCATAGATGCATTAGCATCACCTGAACCTTAGGTGCTGGTGTTTGTCTCTTACACATAAAAAAAAAAAAAATCAGCTTCTTCTGAAACAGTGCATGAGGATGATCACAAATACAGTGTGTTTGTGGCTTTGCCTGGGAATTGAAGTATAACTGGGCAGTGTACTATCTGGACAATTCTGTTAATAGCTGTAGTTGATCTTGATATCTGTTCTTGCATAAGCATTTCACGTTGCAGAGTAGATGTGATCCCTGCAAAGGATGCTGTGCTCTGTGCTTTGTATAAGCTCTTCATAATGGAGGTTAGTAATTACATTTGTATAATGTAACCTGAGTCCAGCTTCTGTTAGTTCCTGGTTCAGTTAAATTGTGTAATCAGAAATTTTGAGTTATGTCTGTAATAAAAAGACAGATAAAGTCAACAAGGAGGCACTCGGGCATGGGTTTTCATCTTTTAACATGCTTGTCTGTGCAGTGTTACTTTTTTTTTTTCCCCCCCCCAGGCTAGAGTAAAACCTCACAGAACATTCAGGTTTAATGAGTGTGTCTGTACACCATACAATGCAGATTTTGATGGAGATGAGATGAACCTTCACCTTCCTCAGACGGAAGAAGCAAAAGCAGAAGCACTTGTTCTAATGGGGGTATGCAGATGATGTTGCTGTTGGGATTTTGCTAGTGGCAGATGAGCTATGCCTTGTACCTTTTATGTTGCGTGTGAAACTCAAAATCATCATTTAGATCCCCTGACATGGATAATGCTAAACTGTGACACTGCCTAAAAAGTATACAAAAGGGAATTTAGAATAAATTGGGGTTTTTCAAATACATCCGTAGTCTCTTAGACACGTGTTTAGCATCCCTGACAAATGCAGCATTTTTAAGTTAGTGCCTGCCTTTAGTTTATTTCTACTTGACTATCGTTAGCAACAGTGATCACTACCAAAGTACAGTCATCACAGCCCAGCAATTTCAGGCTGTCATACCAACTGAAAATGAGGCAGCAGTAGTGTGGTGGTACTGGAGTGATATTTGCCAGGGAAGACAGGAGACTAGTCTTTTATGAGGGAACAAAGAGAGAAAGGGTGGTGGATAAAGAGGGATCTGATGGTTGCTGCTGTTGATCTGTGGTGCGCATGTGCAGTCAGTAGCAGCAATGTGAGGATTTTCCAGTACGTTGTTCCTTTAGGGCACTGTTGAATAACAAATGCAATATCAGTCTTTTCAAATGTTTAATCTTTTTGTTTCTTATGTCACACAGACTAAAGCAAACTTGGTAACACCAAGAAATGGAGAACCCCTAATTGCTGCTATTCAGGATTTCCTTACAGGTGTGTACATAAGCTTATTTTAGAGATGTGTGACTTAACAGCTGTTTGTTTTGTTGTTTCATAATCTCTGGGGGAATTTAAAAAAAATCTGGGAAAGATTTACGCCTGAAGCTGTCTTTTGTCACTTAGCACACTAAGTGGATAGCTAGTATCAGAATAAAATCATTAATACTGAATATGCAATAGCTTTTAAGTTTCACCTCACTTTAATCTGTCAGATTAATCTTTTTTTTTTTTTTTTTTTTAAACAATCTAGGTGCCTATCTTCTTACACTAAAAGATACCTTTTTTGATCGAGCCAAAGCCTGTCAAATTATTGCTTCTATCCTAGTTGGCAAGGATGAGAAGATTAAAGTTCGCCTTCCACCCCCAGCAATTTTGAAGGTGTGTCAAACTATTTTTCTTTTTCTAATACCGAGACTTTCTCTGTTGTGTGGTTTTTGACCCATGGTGATGTTCTCCACAAAGAGAATTTTCAGTGACGGTTCTTGTTTTCTCTGACATTGTGCTATATCAGGCACTGTTTATACTGTAAGGCATAAAGCGGGAGGATCAGAATTCAGGGTCAAAGCTACGCAGGAGCCTGATTGTGCCTGAGGCTAAACAAAGTTGACCTTGCTTAGTGCAGTCCACATGCTGTAATCCGTCAGCCATCACCAACTAGTGCATACTCCCTCAGGATTAAAGCATAATTTTTCTACTATCTTGCTACTGTCAGACAGACTACATTGATGATCACTAGAAGGTGTGTCATTCTTAGAAAGCTTGGAATTGCCAGCTATGGAGACTAATATGGGGCTAAGTGGAGAAACTACGTTATTCCATGGGTGCCCTGAAGCAGTATGTTGGAATGCTGGACGCTTCTAGGTTTCAGCATTCCAACCTTTAAGAGATGTCACACTTGTGAAATAGTGTTTTAACTGTTAAATCTAGAAATCTGTTAAAGGTTAAAGAGGATGAATGCTATGTGATTTTGGTTACATCATGTGCATGAAAATTTATTGTGAAGGGCAAAGTATTTGTGTATTGGTCACAAACCTGGAAGACTGCTTATAGTATCGTTTATTAGATGAGATCAGTGTCTGTTAAGCTTTCATTCATACACCTTTAAGGGTGGCTTTATTTGATTAATTTTCCATTTGAGGCAAACGTTATTGTTTGGAGAGAGAACTGGTACATTTTGTCACTTGCTGAATACTCATGAATAACCAGCATGTGCTTGTTTATATCTTTTACTTAATTTTAAATTTTGCTCCAAGTGTAACGTTTTCCTGGAATTTTCCCTAATTATGAGGAAAGTAAAACTGGAGCATCAAAGAAAAATACTAACCTCAAGCAAGGTCAGAGCATCTATAGGCAATATCTAAAGTGAATTTTGTAAATATATGTAAAGCAGAGTTTATAGCCAAGAGCAGTGATTCTCTGACTGCTTCTGTCACATCAAATAAATGATTTTAGAACTAGGTGTGATAGTTACTTATGTTTAACTACAGTTGAGTGAAACACATAATCATATGAATGTTTAACCTCTTAAAAATTTAATCAGAAGACACTATATAATGAAGGAAATATAAACATGGCATCCCATTTGGGAAATGAAATGACAGTAGCATCATCATTATTTTCTTTCTTTTAATCAAAGAGAAATATGTCAGTAAGGGAGTAATAGAGCATGTATCTCTAAATGCACACATATACTCTTATGTAAAGGAGAACTATTCAGGAATCAGTGCTTTTATATTTATAGAAGTGCATAATGGCTCTCCTATTCAAAGGAAAGCTATTATGCACATCTATAAATGTCATTCAGTGCAGAAAACAAAGTTTTACAGTTAAACTCTGCCTGCTATTTTACTGTAGTTGTATCACAAAACCTCTAACCCTAATTTTTGTCCTTTTGTCTTAAGCCTGTAACACTTTGGACAGGAAAGCAGGTTTTCAGCCTTATTCTCAAGCCTAGTGATGACTGTCCTGTAAAAGCCAATCTGCGAACCAAGGGCAAACAATATTGTGGCAAAGGAGAAGACCTGTGTTTCAATGATTCTTGTGAGTGATGCTTCTGAAGCTTTGTTTTAGAATTCTTCAAAGAAATTGTGGAGATTGTTTTGCTGAGTTTGTTGCCACTGAGCTCTCTGCAGGACTTGAAGCAGTGTTTTACATAAGTATTCTTGAAATGAAAACTGAAAGTGTGCGTTCTTTACAAGTAAAGGCTGGAATCATACTGAACGTCAAAGAAAAGACACGAATGGTTTCTTGTAATAAAATTTCTTTTATGTGTTGCTAGGCTTGTAGTGATGCTAATGTAGTATTTGAAGGTAAAAAAGACGAAGATAAGGAAAGCAAAGGAACTTGCAGTGGCTGTGCAGAGGGCAAATGGGAAAATTTAGTATCTGAAGTGGACGGAGTGATGCAGGGATCAGAATCTAGTCAAACATTGAAAGGAGTGAAGATATCAAGGGAAGATGGGAATCTCTAAGAGGTCACACCAACTATATCCTTTCAGTTAGGGAAGTGCGAGTGGCAGCAAAGAAGCAAAGGTTGAAAGGGCTGTAGCAGATGAGCAAGGCTTTTCTGGTTAATAGTTTAACATTAATGTAGTAACAATTGGAAAAGAACTTGAGCCGGCAGGATTAGTTTGGCTCTTTGCCGCTCGGAAGCGTGAGTTAAGGAACCGAGAGAGGAACCATTGATTTACATTGCAGTACAGGCATTATGTGCCAATTCCTGTATGTAACACTGATGTGAGAAAAGATCTGCTGATGGGCACTCAAATCTATACCAGATTCTGAGAGTTTCCCTTAGAAGGCAGAACCACTTGGTGGTTGTGAACTTGGCTATAAATGTGCTGGCACAGGTTTTTCACCCTGGATGGAACGCAGGGATGAGAGACAGCAAAGCAAGCCTGATGCTTTTTTCTGAACATAAAGACATACTCTTCCTTCCACAGTCTTTGTATTTTAAGACTTATGGGCAGAAGTTCCATTTTATGATGTTAACAGTAGCAGTTGATGGAGAAAACCTGTGGATTTCACTGGTGGCTCTGTTCAGTTCCCTGAAATAACTTCATTCCTAAAGCAATGCTAATTCCATTCAGAAAATTGTACAAATTCTCTGAAGTCTCATTAAATCCTGGTATTATATTTTCATTGTATATAATAAGTGATAAATGGCAGTGATTACTGCTTGTGGTTCAACAAAATGGTTACCTAATTTCATATTGTATGTACTGAGCATAGAGTACAGTGTGCACACCTCTAGAGCATTCTGTGGAAAATGATTTAAATTGGATCCATATATATGTGTGTATGTGCATATACATATGTATGTATATATATGAATATATGAATATGCCAGTTCTCCTTTGAGAAATGCATAATGAAGTTGAGAGTGAACATGTACTGCTTTCATAGAAAATCTGTCTAAAGTTTTTGTATAGAAGATACTTTTTTAATGCTTAAAGGCTAACAACTTGTAAGGAAGATTCAGTGCCTGAAATAGAGGTTCCTGATGAAGCAAGAGGAAGTTATCTAAGGGATGCAGCTTATATAGCCTACAGGCCTACAGCTGATATGGGGGTCTTTACAGTATGCTTGTAATTAAGGAGGCATCTGTGTACAGTATGCCTTTTAAATTAAATCCGTTCCTCCTGAAGTGATGCAGAGTAGCACTGAAAATCGAATCTTTGAATAAGAAAATTGCAACCTCCCATCTGAAATGTTGTTGCTCTAATTAAAAAAAAATCCAAGATTAAGTATGATCATGTATTGTGTTTCTGGAAGGCTAAGACTGATTGACTGATACCTTTTTTTGGTCAACGAAGTGAAAATTGGTTTTGGGGTGTTACTTGCTTGACTTGTAGATTATTCGCACAAAGGATTATTCAGAATATTTCTCAGAAGTCTTAAATTGGATAAAGTTGCCATTCTAAGGAGGGAGGGAAACAGAGAAATGTGGGCAAGATCAGTTTGTAGACTGTGTTCATGCTCTGTAAATACTCATTCCTGCACTTCTACAGATATGGTAAATATATGCCTTTGGGTTTTGCTATTTTTGTGAACAAAGCTTTATATTTAAAAACCTGCTTCATAACTTATTACTAGAGTTTAAGTACTGTTTTACAAAATGATCCGTTCTTTTTACTTTTCTGTTTCTAGATGTCACAATTCAAAATAGTGAGTTAATGAGTGGTAGCATGGACAAAGGAACCTTAGGATCAGGATCCAAGAACAATATCTTCTACATTTTGCTGAGAGACTGGGGTCAGGTGGAAGCTGCAGATGCCATGTCACGACTGGCCAGGCTTGCTCCTGTCTATCTTTGTAAGTAATGGGGGAAGTGCATTTTGTTGTAAAGCAGTATCTTAAGGCTGAAATAGAGGACAATCAAGCAAGGTTTTGCTTAAAATATGGTGTAATCTGTTTAAGTTAATTGCAGAGCTGATAGAAATGGTGAAACAAGTGGTGTGTATGCACTTGAAGCATACGATTGCGTCATAGTGGGAGGAAATAATAAAGGTCCTGATGATAACATTTCCTCGTTTTATTTATATTTTCTCTGTATGACACTGAGCAAGCAGAATCATCATCTTGTTATTTTACTATAGCTAACCGTGGCTTTTCAATTGGAATTGGTGATGTTACCCCTGGACAGGGCCTACTAAAAGCTAAGTATGAACTCCTAAATGCTGGCTATAAGAAATGTGATGAGTATATTGAAGCTCTGAACACCGGCAAGCTGCAGCAGCAGCCTGGCTGTACTGCAGAGGAGACGCTAGAGGTAAAAGTTTTAAGTTAAATCATTATATGTTTATAGTAGAGACTATGTGAATGGATTCCTGTTAAGTTGCGAAGCTCACAGCTGTCTGCTGAAGCTTAAAAATTTTGAGTGAATAGGATCCTTATGTACTCCACTTTAATTGAGACTGTCTAGGCTTAACATTTAGATGCACGTATGAATGGATGAAGGCCACTTGGGGCTGCTCTTGTAGCTCTCCTTGATTTTATGCTCTTCAGGAACATTTAACATGGTAGTTACATATGGAATTACTATGATCCTCCCACCCTGCTGGAAGTGTTGGGATAGCATGTAAGAGAACAAAAATTACACCGCTAATCAGAATGGAGTTAATGTTACATTTACCAATATTACGAAGTTAACAACCAATAGTAACACTAATGAATCTAATCCCAGAAGCAAAATATTCATTTAGTTACAGTTCTGTCTGTATGCAAATGTTTTCTTGTTCCTTATTGGGGCAAAATTTTAGTGGACCTCAGTTCTGCTCAGTTTTTTTCTTTTTTCTGTAGGAATTTTGAAGAAGTGCAATGATTGTTGCCCAAAAGCTTAGAAACAGGGGCTTAATGGAGTAAACTGAAGAATACTCTTTTCACTGTCTTTAATGGTTTCATACATTTGTCCTCTTGCATGTGGAATGTCTAGGAGATCTGTTGTTACTGATCTTTTTTTTGTTTGTTTTGTTTTATTAAAGTAAAGTAAGCTCCACCCTATAATTAACTATTGCCACGGTTGTCCAGTCAGTTTAAACTGTTACTCTCTGGCTGAAAGAAGAGTCTTGCAGTCTTTCTCCCCTCTTCCTCTTCTCAGTGTATGTCCTAGAATGTTTTTTGATACAGTTGTTAAGCTCTTAACAATTGGAGATACTAACATTGCATACTCTGTCCTTTTTGTGAAGGTCCTTTTCATGTAGCACAGCGAGATTTATAACTTAGTTCGGCCGTTGGTTTAACGCAAGAGCTTAAGCTGGTGTTGCCGCCAAAAGGAGGCGATCATGCCTCTAGCTACCCCTGACTTCTAGCAAAGAATTTTTATGCAGCACACTGCAGTTATTTGAGTTATAAGTTATTATCGTGTTTTACACAAAGCAAACATCTAGGTTTCTGTCTTTTTATTCTAGTTCCCTACTGACTATTGAAGGTATTGGTAGCAAGTGATAGGGCGCTGTTTGTGTGTGGTGTTTTTCACTAATGCTGTATCTCTGAACTCTTGGATTCTAGGCCTTAATCCTTAAAGAACTCTCTGTTATCAGAGATCACGCTGGCAGTGCCTGTCTCAGGGAATTGGACAAGAGCAACAGTCCCCTTATCATGGCTCTCTGTGGTTCTAAAGGTAGGATTTGCTAAGCTTTGGAATTAGATTGCTCGTTCCATCACCGTTCTCAGAATTTCTTGTGCTTCCTTTATAGCCTGTTTTATACAGGCAGTCAGAAGTGCAAGTATTACATTTATGTCATATATGTTTGGAGTGACTCTTCTCAATAAATGCACATTGGATATGGTTAATTGAAATCCAGCTGATGTTGTTTTTATGGAACGTTTAGACTTTTGCTACAAGATGAAAGGCATCCTTCTGGTACTTTAGATGTTCCTAAGACTTGATGTAACTAATCAGTAAAAGGATTTCAGCTCTACCTCCCACCCTGGAAACTTGTATCACACAGAAAGTCAATGAGAAATGATACCTTAAGAATTGGAGATATGTTTCAGTCATTTTCACTGCTTTGCTTCTAAAGGACCATCCGTGTAGCAGATATTTGTTTTATACTCAAATTCCTGCCCGAGCTTTCTTTTGATTTCTGTAGGAATTTGAAGAAACCATTTAACTGCTCTGCTTTTCCTTATCTAGCTCTAATAAACTGTGGAAAGCCTCAGGATGAGGCTTCTGTATTTGTTTTATACTCAAATTCCTGCCCGAGCTTTCTTTTGATTTCTGTAGGAATTTGAAGAAACCATTTAACTGCTCTGCTTTTCCTTATCTAGCTCTAATAAACTGTGGAAAGCCTCAGGATGAGGCTTCTGTATTTCTGAAGAAATACTGAAATCGAAGAGGGATAAATTAGGGGGATAATTTGGGGGAGAGGGAACACTTAACATGTCTTGATTCTCTGGGGCTTAGTTTGTTGTAAGAATCTTAGTAGAAGCTGAACCCTTCATAAAGAAAATACTGTAAAATACGTTTGATGAAGGAAACGTGAAGCAAAATATGTAGGTCAGGATCATGGGTTGTATAAATCACAATACATAACACAAAACAAGATAACGTACGGCCTCTAATCAAATACTGGTGGCATGAAAGTCTGACACAAAGGAAAAATAAAAAGGGTTGTTCGTTCTGTGGTAGACTGACTTGGTTGTTGTCAGTCTCTGAGTAAATGCTTAAATGAATAGGACAAGTAACAGAAAAGCTTGGTTACCTGATGCAATTCAGAAGACGTTTTGGAAGAATTTCAAAGCTAAATGAAGATCTTCATAGAAGTGAAGGCAGCTCAGTCATTAAAGGAGCACTGACACTCCTCATTTGTGAGTGTGAGTTTTTTTCCTTCTGTCTTTCTTTTCAGGCTCCTTCATTAATATATCCCAGATGATTGCCTGTGTAGGTCAGCAAGCTATCAGTGGATCACGAGTTCCTGATGGATTTGAGAACAGATCCTTGCCTCACTTCGAGAAGCATTCTAAGGTAAATTTGTACGCTTACAGTATTTTGTTAAGAAAGTAAAATAGGTTGTTAAAACCATTTTAAGAGGGACACGTGATAGGGTGTGGTGTCACGGCACTGTAACGGAAAAGGAACGCATCTAGTGAATGTAAAGTGTTTTGAGTATGAGTCAGGAGTTAACAGCAGTGTTGTGAATTCCCACAGGAAGTTCGATTACCTTGAAATTTTACAGCTAAACTTTGCTATTTCAGTGATATAGACCTTTCTAACTTAGTAATTTTAAAATAAGTCTCACACATGTTTGATGCAATAATTTTTTAAAATTTCTCTTTGCGTTCTGTTTCAGTGTACTAAAACTCTTCAGGACAGCTGTTGGTTGGGCTTTGAAATATTTAGTCAGGTGTAATATGCCAGATTTGTTTCCTTTTCTGCTAGGATAGATATGATGGGCTACTTGGAACGTTAGATATCTGAGTGCTGTTCTGCATGAATCAATGAGGAATGTCATGCGCTTGTTAATACAATTCAGTGTGAATCTTTTCTTTTTTTTTTTTTTAAACTGGTATCTGAAATCTAATTATCAGTAGAGAAGGTTCTAGGTACTAGCTATCAATCTTATTAGAACATGTTAGTCAACCATCGGTGGTAGCCATGGCACTTGCATGTGTCGCTACGTGTCCAATTTTCAACTTTCGAATTCTGTAACATGAAACCCTTTCTTCCCTGAGTAAATTAAGGGAGAAATAAACTTCATGGGTTATATGAGAAGGAAAAAGTTGTAACTTTTAACTCCAGCTTTGTTACAGATATAAAAAGCACTGCCTCTTAAATAACAGCACAAAATGGTCTTCTAAGATGAACCTCTTTGTAGCCTTCAGCATTGTTCTATGTGATCATGTAGACAACTTGGTTACTTGACTTAAATGGATGCCTGCATGAAGTTTATTGGCCAGAACCGTTTGTCAGTGGTGAGAGCAAACCATTCAAATGAATCAGTTATGTACGCAACTCCACTTTATCTTATATACTCTCTAGATTCCTTAGTCTTCAGCACTGTTTATGCCTTTGCCCTACTACTGCAAAGCAGAAGTTCATATCACTCTTTAAATTCTTGCAACTTTAAGGGAGACTGAAGTGATAGTGTAGTGTTTGCAAGGAATGGACAGAAGCATGAATGTAGAGAAGTAAAATCTTGTATTAGAGAACTTGGGAAAAACTAGACAAGGATTTTGAAGCCTTTATTTAGAACTAAAATAAACATTGAACTTTAAAGCTAAATATAAGCTGAGACAATTGCTCTATATTTAATTGTGTATGTATCAGCTGACTTTCCGAAAGAATTTAGGCCATTTAAAGTATTTTTTTTTTCCTGTTACATGCATACAGGATGTACACTATATTTAAATCTTTTTTCCACTCTTCCATGTAGCTTCCAGCAGCAAAAGGCTTTGTTGCTAATAGCTTCTATTCTGGGTTGACTCCTACTGAATTTTTCTTCCATACGATGGCTGGCCGAGAAGGTCTGGTTGATACAGCTGTAAAAACTGCTGAAACTGGATATATGCAGGTAATTGTCAGTGGAATGGGAATATTATCAATTGTGCAAAAGGAGGATATTTGTTTTGGTACGTGTTTTATAGGATGAGGAAGATGAAGTGCATGGGATTTTTTGGTTTTTTTTTATTTTATTTTCCATTTTTTATGTAACGGAGAGTAGTTTATAATGTGAAATACCTGAATTTGCTCTATTCTCCTGTAGATATGCAAGGTTTGTGAAGCACATCAGACAATGGCAAAGTAATATGCATGTGTTAAGCTGTTACTTCTTGAATATGGGTGATAAAAGCCCTTGTTTTAGGGACTCGCTGAAAATTACATGCTAGGTAGCGTGTATTCTCAAAATCCATGTGAATGGTGGAAGTTTGGTCCATACAGCATAGCACTGATTGAGGTTGTGAAGTGCTTTTTTCGAGTATGCTATTTTGCACACACACACTCCCCCCCCCCCCCCCCTCCTTTTTTAATGAGAAAAAAGAAAAAAACACCTGTAAATCCTTGCATTGACTTATTTTTTAAAGAAAGATTATACGGATGGCAAAAATCTGTCTAAAGCTCCCTTTCAGTGTCTGTCCTCTTTAGATAACAGGCCCCTAGCCCTATAGACCTGGATTTAGACCTAAAGATGTTCGGTGATGTGTTAATTCTTTGGCTGTATCGACTGTAAAAACAAGTATCCCTTCACCAAAGCTTCTTGCTCCCATAAGTAGCCTCAAGACTTCAGTGAAAACATTTAAGTAATATTTTAAGTAATATCCATGTACCATGACTTTTAAGTATGGTGCTCTTTCCAGGCTAGCAGGCAGTAAAAAGCCCAGACAATATAGGGTTGGGAACACAATTCAGATACGTGCAAGTAGTTTTACAAAGAGGGAAACCAGTTCTGTCGGGGTGACTAGCTGCTTTGACTGTCTGTCCCCAAATTAAAAGGATTGTGTGTGTGTATATGTGTGTGTGTACATATACACACGCATATGTATGTAAAAATGATAGCTAAAACTTTTTCTCTCATCAACTTTCACCTCATATAGATAAAATTGTAGTGCTAGGCATTTGGATTAGTAAATCTCTTAGCATTTATTTTATCTTACCTTTTTCCTCTTCAGTTTAAAAAAAAAATTAACAATTTATATTCGTCAGTGAGCTGCTTTGCATTGATAGAACGACAGAGTCCGTCTTTCAAGTAAAAAGGATTTTAACTAGTAGTGCTTAATAGCATGTTCTCTTTTTTGGGAGGCAGAGAAGGGGAGATGGTAGCAGGAGGTTTCCTGATGCAATTAATCAATGTGAGAGCCAGTAGCTAGCTAACACTGATGCAAAAATGGCATTTACAAGTTTTGGCAGATGAGCTCTAATGTCTCTCTCTTTTTTTTTTTTTTTTTAAACCAATGAAAATGATAATTGATCCATTTTCCTTCTGTACAGAAAAGTAGTATCTCTTGGGAAACAAATCTGGTTAGAAGAACTTTGAAAATACACTTCTGGGTGGGTGTTTTTGTTTGTGTGAAGCCTTCAACTGTGATAGGTTCTTATAGCTTGTCATTAACTTTCCTATCCTATATTATGGAATTGTTAAATGTGGAGTTGTTTTAAAATTTTACTATTGCTGGCTTTTTTGTTCAGGGGAGCATGCAATGAAGTGCTATAAATAATGTATGAATTAAATAGGTTTTCATGTCTGCTAATGATGACATCACATTTATTTGTTAAGTCCTGTTACTATAGATTTTTGTAATCCCAATCAATAGCTATTTTTAAAAAGAAACTATTTACCGTCCTTACGTTCCCTCCCAACCCTCTTTTTTTCTCTTCAGAGGCGGCTGGTAAAGTCACTTGAAGATCTTTGTTCTCAATACGATTTGACTGTCAGAAGTTCTACTGGTGACATTATTCAGTTTATTTATGGAGGAGATGGCTTGGATCCTGCAGCAATGGAAGGGAAGGACGAACCGCTGGAGTTCAAGCGTGTTCTAGACAACATCAGAGTAAGGATTACCGAAATCTTTGTTAGAATTCTGAGAAGACTATTGCACATCGAAGAGGAAGTAGCATATTTTGTGGAGAACTGTTTTAATTAAACAATTTATTTTTAAAGTGCCTTTGGGGATGGGGAGGGGAGGAATCCTGATCAGAGTCTCTCTGCTTGTGTATGCTGCTAAGAGCTGTAGAATTTTACTACTTTAGAACAGGGCAACCAGAACTCAACTGTATATGAGATGTGAAAAGTACAATTTTCTACAATGCCTGGATGTGGTTTTAGGGCCCAGTACCAGATTCGGGAGTTCAGTTACTACTGATTTAGTTGGGTACTAGATTGGATTCGCATTACACAAATTAATTCCGAATTAAATCCCAAAACTTGCATGCTTTTTTATGTTGGATTGCTTCTTAGCTCAGATGTATAAAATACTGTTGACTAACTCTGGACATATTGTTATGTTTCAATAAGTGTTATTTATTTCTAGTTTTAATTTTTTTCCTTGACTAAGATAAAAGCTTCTTATTGAAGGGACCATTCAGATTTCTCTGTGAGTGTAATGAATTGGTAGAATTAGAAGTGTGTGTGTGCGTGCGTGTGTGTGTACGCCTTCAGTTTACTTAAGTAGTTTTTGTGTGTATGTTTTATGTGGAGTAATTTTTTTCCCCCTAAGGCTGTATATCCATGCCGAAATGAACCAGCCCTTAGTAAAAATGAATTAGTATTAACATCTGAGTCCATCATGAAGAAGAATGAATTTCTTTGCTGCCGAGACAGTTTTCTGCAGGTAATGTCTTTTTCTCCTTTTCTTTTCACACTGTGATTAACCTTCCTTTATAAATAAGGGAAATTAAATAAACTAAAAATATTTTTCTTTAATGATCGATTTCATCAATCTGTAGGAGCAATGGCTGAATTTGCTACATGAGTAGCAGCAGTACTAATTTGTTCAGTGAGATATTTCTGGATACTTTTTTGAGTGTAGGTAGGGCTAGCAGTTTAGTATGATAATATGAATTATTCTTGTGGAAATTGTTCGTGTTCACGATAGTAGCTTCTGAAATGGGAGAAAAATCTAGTGAACTCTACTTCTACTCTTTTTGAGTAGAAGATGCCTCTGGTCAGATCTGAGATAGCTTACTGGAATTTATGTCCATTGCAAAATGGTGCAATAATTATGTACATCCTCTGGGATAGCTGAAAAAAAGTAATCCTCATTGACTGTATGTGAGAAGCTACTAGGACGGAGTCTCATACTGCCTTGTTGTATATATGTTTTGATATTATCTGTCTCCTGAGTAACAGTTTTTAGTCATTTTCTTCTTTTCCTCTAATAAAAATTCCATATATACCCTTACATATGTTAACCTTGCTTTTCTTTGATGCTAACCCGGCAAAAGCTCTTGAGTCATGTGAAGTGCTTTGCTGGATAGGGCTTATCTTCTGGGGATTACATAGGTCTTTTAAGGATGAGTGAATGTTCACGTGACAGTGTTTTGCCTTCTTGCAGTTTGAATTGTAAAAGTCAATTTATTTAGAGGAGCATTAAATAAGTTTAGTGTATAGGTTAGGAGCCACGCTTGGCTAATTTTGGAGATGGTGATTAAAAACAGTAGAATTAACCTGCCTGTGGACCTTGATGTCCCTTCTGATTTCTGGAGGTGATGACAACACTATGAATTCAGTAACCTGCTTTTGAAGAGTTGGTTTAATAGATCAGTGCCTCAGAGCAGAAAGTGACAAAACCAGTAAGCAGCTCTGTATGAAAATGACTAGCAATTCAGCTATTTGAATCGAGTTGAAAAACATTTTTTTTTTTTCTCATACTAGAAATATGTTGTAATTCTAACTTTGTTGCTGGAAAAAAGATGCAATGCAATAGTATCAAAGCATAGAGGTAAAGCTGTTCTTCTTGAGGTGTACATCTTTTTAAATTGTATCAGTAAACTCTAAATAACTGCTGTTCACTTCAGAAGCATAGACATACCTACATCATCTTAACAGTAATCAGCTATATTTCTGATTGTTCAGTATCAGCTATTATTTCATTTTCTTTTTTCCTTTTCTTTTTTCTTTTCATCCTTGAAGACATTAACTGAGACAGGTTATGAAAAATATAATGAGGTAACTGTAGCATGTGTGTGCACTGTGTGAACACTGATGTTAGTGCTTTTTAGCGAAAGATGCTTGTATAGTGCTAACGTAACTGATTAGAATATTATACATTACTACTTGTTAAATTGTAATCTAGGTGTTCATCACAACAGTTTGCCTAAGTCCATTTTTAATGGTGAAAACCATGACACATGAATTAATCCCCACAATTAAGTTTCAGGATTTGGTTCCTGGAAGCTTTATTTTGATATGTGACTTTTCTTCCTTTCTAAAACTTATCCTTTAAACCTGTAGGGATATTAGCATGTTTTTCCTAGTGTTTTCCTATCCCTTCCTCCACTTTTCCTTTCCAGAACAGAGATATTGCTTATTGTTGTTACTTTGCTGGGATGTTACTCTAATGGGCTTATCCGTTCTAGTCCCGACTATGTCAAAACAGTATGTCTAAATAGCCTTTTTCAAGCAGAGTAGCATTCATTCTGCCTGTACTGTGTCCTCAGTGGAGGAAAGTCAACTGATGAAGTAAGTGGGTTGTTGACTGGCACAGCTTTTAGCAGGACTTAATGCTTTAGCACAGGCATGTGTAAATGTATTAAATTACAGCTGAAGGGAATTTTTTTTTCTTCTTATTTCAATTAGGAAGATCTTTGGAAACCTTTAGAATGGAAAAAAAAAAAAAACCCAACACTTTTAATTTTTTTGAGATAGATTATAGGTTCTGGGGAGTGTGGTGCAAACATTTACCGGGCTTTGCACACAGCCAGTGTGTGGTGACATATCTAATGCTGGCCTACTAAGTCTGACTGGCCTTGAGCTGATTCTTGCTGAATCATTTGGGACTGTCTGTACCACTCTGGGTTTCAGTGGGCTTTTTAAGTACAAGCTAGATTCTTAGTGCTTCAGTTATATAATTTGTCCCACAAAACTAAGTCCTGGGAAATATGATGCAGACAGCTAAGTGACCAAGCTTTCTACCCTGGACCAAAATAGTGCTATTTTGACTTGATGTTGGCCATATAGGAGCTGACAAGGTCCATGTTGAGCGTGAGCTTACCAAGTCGGTTTGGTACCTTTTTGTAAACAGCTTCAGATAGAAGAGCTTAATAGGTCTGGACTGCATGAAAGAAGCTGTCATTTCCTGAGCTAGCTCTGGAAGCTACACAGCTGTGCTCATGGAGGATGGTGTTGCGCTGAAGATGATAAATCCATACAGACAGACAGGCTCAACAAAGAGCAAGCTATAGTCTGTAGCATAAATTAATCCATAGTTTGGATAAACTCATGGACTGTGAATGAGGAAAAGTCTACAAATCAGTAGTTCACCACAGTGTCATTTCTACTTCTATACTGTTTTTTTCCGAGTCTGTCCTGTTGTGGACTTTGTTCATATTACTAATTCTGTAGCCAGTATGACAACTTCTTTTGATTTGTGGCTTGTTATTATTGTTATTCCTGTCCCTGGATTATATGTGAGTAGGTGAAAATGTAAAATAACTTTTCAGTGATCTGGGAGACAGCTGAAGTTGCCGCATCTGAAGTTCTGCCCCTGTCTCCTGCAAAAGAGGCACCTTTCCAGATGGAATTGCTTTTAAATATCTCTAGTTTTTTTCCTCTTGACTGGATGTTCTGAGTGATCTTCTGCAAGCCATGCAATACACCTTGTATGTTTTCTCCACAAGTAGTAGAGAGACTGATCCTTCATTCAACATTATTACTCAACTGTTATCTTAGAAAATAAATAAAATTATTATATCCAAATATCTAAGGGTGAAAAAATCTTTCCCGTGGCAGAATAGTGAATCACTATGAGTTACTGCAGGGCAAAAAGGGCAGAAATATATAAAGGCCATCTGTTGTCATCCACATGGGAAACAACTTGGAGCATTCATTCCAGTAGTACATTTCTGTAATCGGTCCTTTTGTTAGGATTTTGTTCTAGCCTTCATGGAAGATAATGAGCTATCTGAAAACATCTTGAACACCAGTAAGGATGTCATTATTTTGAGAACCTAAGGATTCTCAGAACAGTGTTTAGATAATGATTTATGAGTGAAGTTTAAAAAAGGCAGTCACTCAGGTATTTATTCAATTCTGCAGGTAATTTTAAGTGCCCAGTTACTGCAGCGATCGGATAGAGCTCCGTAATGAGTAGAGAAGAGGTGCTACTTTGTAGTCATCATTCTGGTTGGCAAGCAGGCTTAATGGGATGGGAAGGTTTTAAACGTATGCTAAAAATCAAACTATTCACTCTTCCGTAGAGATGTTCTTAAATCATTGCTGAAGTAGACAGGAATTACTTGCTTTTGCTTTTGCTTTGTTTTGTTTTGTTTTTTGATAGTCCATATTGTGGTAATGACTTGCATTGAATCCCGTTTTACAGAAGAATTAATCATAGGCCTCATATTTCACGATCTCTAGAGTACGTATCTGTTTCTGAAGTGTAATGCCTGAATGATGTTTCACAGAAATATTTAAAGTTTTTCTGAAAGTATTATTTCAATTTTCATTTTAGTAAAGGCTATTAGAACTATTTTGGGGTACACCTAATAGAAGAGTGGCTGGTTTATATATTAGTACATGTTAAGTGCACTATTTACAAGACTTCTCCACAGCATGGAAAGGGTTGCTATTTGTACTATGCTAGGTAGAGACTCTGACATGTACATAGCGATTTTAAGGTGTTTTTTTTTTTCCCCTCTGCAAATAAATTGTCTTGAATCTCTGAAATGTATCTAGCAGGTATCCTTTATATGCTTCCTCTATTGACACAGTCTTTCCACTTTGACTTATTTGAATACTGAGGAGTGAGTGAGAATGTATTTGGGTCAATAGGCTCAGAGAATAAGTATTCTGACTTTTTTTTTTTTCCTTTTTTCCATATGTTTTTTGAGGTGGGATAGTCAGAAAAGTGTCAGTGATTAGGAAAAAATGATCAGCCAAAGTCAAATCTCTGAGTTTTCAGTGTGCGCTCAGGAAGGATACTTTCAGGCAGAGTAGACCGTATTCTTCAAGTAATGCTACTAATTTGTGGTTACACAGGATTGAATTTGGTTTACTAAATTCTAGTCTCTGTGTCTAAGTTTTGATGTCTTTCTCTTCATGTTATTCATTGTTAATTTATTATTGTAAGTATATCTTTTGGATCTATAAGCAAGTAACTTACTGTTGAAGATTTCAGTATGAAAAACATGTCTTTGCTGACCTTTGTTTTATTTAATTTCAGGAAATTAAAAAATTCATCAAAGGTGTTTCCGAGAAGATAAAAAAGACTAGGGACAAATATGGCATTAATGACAATGGCACAACTGAGGTAACTAGTTTCACTGGGGTAACTATGCAGTTATTGCAGATCTTCTTAAGCTCTCGCATTTCTAACTGTGGTGTCTTTTGCAGCCACGAGTTTTGTATCAGTTGGATAGGATTACTCCAACACAACTAGAGAAGTTTCTAGAGACTTGTAGGGACAAATATATGAGGTAAGTATTTGGCCTGTTGCTTTCTCTCTCCCCCTCTTTCTCTCTCTTTTTTTTTCTTTTCAAAACCGATTTAGTATTTGCCGCTTTGTTTGCTATCTGGCAGTAACTTAAAGCAGAGTATTTTGCTATTTTTACTAGGTGAATATTGGTTCCATTGTGGATACAGTACAAATAAAGAATAAGAAACAATTGACCCCAAAGATGTAAATTGTAAGACATAGGCAGATGAATGACTAGAAAACAACAACAACAAAAAAAGCATTGCCATCTGCAGGTGGGGATGTTGAGACACAGAGTTAAGTGCTGTATGACAGTTTTAAGGGTTTGACAGAGCTGGGATTTTCATCTGTCTTGAGTCCTAATCAGATGCTTTCATTAGAAGAAATTGATTTCCTTTCCTAATTTAATTGGTTCCCTTTTATATTGCAGGAAAAAAATGTTTTGTATTTCTGAAGTTCTTGTTTCAGGACACTTGAGCATGAAAAGTTATCTGCTTGTGCTGAGGCACTTTCCTTCTGAAACAGTAATAGTCATATCTGTCAGCAAAGTTTTCTTCTATAGCTACTACTTATTTAGTTAAATCCATAAATGGCATTTGGACAGTGGGTTCCAGTTGGAAACGAAAAGTGCTAGAATTCAAAATGAATGAGGATATTGTTTAAATGCTAATATTCGTAAATGTATATGTAGACATGTTACTTTCCTCCCCTCCTTGCAGCAGATTGTTCCCCCCTCCAAAGAGTCCATGTGGAATAATGCTTGAACTGGAGCAGTTTTGAATCCGTAACAACCTCGGTGGTTAATCTTGATCTAAATCTGTGAAGAGTTATGTCATGCTTTTTGCTAATGTGTTCTTGAATCTGTTACCTGCCTCTAGGGTTTTTTGGTTGTTTTTCCTGGCCTGTAACAAGACAGCATTAGTATGAGAGGTTTCATCTCTACACTGTCCATTGAGAGTTGTTTCATTTACTTAAAGAAGGTCCTGAGTCTCCTGGGATTTGTTTATTGGCATACAGCTGTTGGTGACAGCCCTTTTGTGGCCTCACGCTCGCCTGCATCAATTAGTTGTTAGGGTGGTTTCCTTTTCTAGAAACTTGAGGTATATATTAAATTCTTTACGCTATTACCAGGTTTTGCTTTCAGGTAGTAGGATTCCTAGCTTATGTTTCTCTTACGTATTCTTAAACATGGAATGTCTATTTTACAGCTGTATGTCATTTTAACATATTATATTATGCTGACGTGTAGTGACTGATGCTGGTCTGACAGCTGAAACATGGTACCTTTTGGAGAGGATGTTATTGCTGTGCTGCATGCTTTTGTTTTATAGGCTGCTGTTATTTTACTAGGAACAGAAGTCTCTGAGATTGCAGCAATTTGGGGATAGATAAAGCATGAGTGAATGACAGAGGATCTCCAAACAGTAGTGAAAACAATAACCTCTAATAGTTCTGTTTTGCAGTCACTCAGAATTAATTCCATCAGATGTTACAAGCTAAACGCTATTAAATAGCATTTTTACTTGATAAGGGTTCATCAAGGAAAATGCGAGATGCTACTACAGGTTAGATTGATTTAGGAAGTGGTATTGTCTTGTAAGTTCTAGAAGCTGTATTTACTCTAGAAAAGATGATCATTTTGCACTTTTTGCAAGTTTAAGAATGTTGACTCCGGGATGTGAACAGAATTTTAGGGGAGGATGTAAATTTCCCCTCGGAGACTCCTTTTCAGATTGCATAGTGCAATGGTCTTCATTTTCTGTCCTGTAAAGATAACCAGTTCTCAAAGCCTGTAAGTTTTAGAAAGGGTCAAACATAGAAATGGTCCCATTACGTGCATAGTTGGAGGGAAAGTAGGTCATTGGTACAGGCCTTTGAATAAGCTGAAAACAATAAAGCATTAATATCTGGATTTTGCTCTCATTTTAAAAAGTTATCTGCACAATAATTTCTTAAAGAAGACTTAATAAAGATCTCTCCTTCCTAAACACTTAAATGGGAGTTGTGAAAGCATTAGAGTATGCAATTCCCTGATTGGGAAATTTTGCATCTACTGCTTGATGTTTAGGAGGAGGAGAAGCATTTCATATTTTCTGTTACGGATGTTATACCAGGGCTGTTGAATGTCTGTATGACAGGGCATCCTCTCACCTTGCATGAGATCAGTGACCTCTTAACCTGTTGACTCTCTCCTGTTTTTTGTTAGTTTAAAAAAAAAAAAAAAAAGTTAACAAATTCCTCTTATATCTTCCAGAATAGTTTTTGTCTTTACTTGTTTAGGATTTTATGCCTGATTGAGTTCCATGTCTCTTCCTATGTTTTTTACGAGGATTTCCTTCTCAGGGCACAGATGGAGCCGGGTTCTGCAGTAGGAGCTCTTTGTGCACAAAGTATTGGTGAGCCTGGCACACAAATGACTCTGAAGACTTTCCATTTTGCTGGTGTCGCTTCAATGAACATTACTTTGGGTGTGCCAAGAATCAAAGAAATTATTAATGCTTCGAAGGCAATTAGGTACTAATATTGATATTTTTTCCTTTGCTTAAGTGAAACCTGATTGATAAATTTGCAGTATGTGATAGCATTTTTCTGTTATCAGTAATATGCTAGAAGCAGCATTGAATCCGTTAAATACCCAAACAAGAAAAATTTATTGAAAATTTATTGTCATGAAGTAATGATTTAGGGCCAGAAAACGGACTTTTTTTTTTTTTTTGAAAATCAAATTACTACTGGAGTTGTGTAAGCCATCAAAATTACCAGTTACTGTATTATTATCATCTCTTGTGTGTTTGCTTATTTTTACTGTTTTTGCTAGCCTGAAGTACCTGGAGAATAATTTTCTTAAATGTACCTGAGGAAGCCGAATGTCTTTCTATCTCAGTTAATACTACCCTAGATAATGTGATAGATTTCATAAGCCTGGCTGTAATACAGATTGCCACTTGTAGTCTAGCTTAGCAGTTTCACAACTCTGTTTTCTTATGTGTGTTTATTCTCTGTAGCACGCCTATTATAACAGCACAGTTGGACAAAGATGATGATCCTGATTTTGCCCGTTTGGTTAAAGGAAGAATTGAGAAAACATTATTAGGAGAGGTAGGAAAAATCGTATTACTACTAATGGCTTAAATGCCCTAAATTGCATTTTAACCTATTGCTCTAGGACATCTTAGCCATTCTCTCAGGCTAACTATTTCATCTTTATCTCTTAAAGATTTCAGAGTATATTGAAGAAGTGTTTCTTCCTGATGATTGTTTCATCCTGGTCAAGCTCTCTCTGGAGCGCATCAGACTATTGAGATTAGAGGTGAGTTGTTCAGTCTGTATTCAGAATATGCTTTGGGAAAATTCCAAAGGGTCTCTTGGTTCTTTTTCAGGAACCAAAATCAGACTAATGGAAGTGAAAAATAGAAAGTGAATGAAGCATATCCTGTGGCTACATCACACCGAGATGTATTTTTCATCTTCTTAAGTGGATAGTTTTTGCTCTATTTGGAAATGAGAACATAAATTTATTTCTTGGTGTCTTTCTAAATACAAGGAAGATGCCATCTCTGTCTGTCGGTTAGGAACATACAGGTCTGTATGTACCCTCCACACAAGACAGTATTGTATGTGTAACTTAGAGTAATCATCTGCAAACCTTTGTTTATTTTTCTACATTCCACTTCTTGATGCCCTGTTGAGAGTCAGGGCAGAAATCTAACTGCTACATTTTTTTGAGCAGACTTAAATATTTTGAGAGATATTCTGATGTTTGACTAATTTTTGCCACAGGTGAATGCGGAGACTGTGCGCTACTCTATTTGCATATCTAAACTGAGAGTGAAACCTGGGGATGTTGCTGTCCATGGAGAGGCAGTTGTATGTGTGACCCCTCGTGAAAATAGCAAGAGTTCAATGTATTATGTATTGCAGTCCCTGAAGGAAGAACTGCCAAAGGTAAAAGCAAAGGCTTTGTCTCATGTTTTTTGGGAGATAAGCAGTAAGAATAATTTGGGGCTCTGCGATGGGCAGATGGAATATTTCTTGTCAGTATATACAATGGAGCCTGAGTCCAGAACTTTGTGATTTAATTGGCACTGCTTTACAGCTCAAACTAAGCCCCCATTACTAATCTTCATAAATAAAATTGAAGCCTTGGTATTTTCATTACAGAGTTCACTGAAGCATTCCAAAAACAGCACTTCTTGTGAAAGTATGGAATAGTTGCATCTTCTTCATTTGCATCTAGAGCTGGACTACGTGACAGTATCTGGCCTATTTTGCGCTATGTGTGAGGAGACTGTCTGCTCTGGATTTTAAAAATGCCAGTTAGTGCACCTTATTATTGACAGGGTGCCCTTTCAATTGTGTGAGCCCACCATTCAGGCATCCAGGTCTGAGTTTGAGACTCTTTGACATAAAATGCAGGTAGCGAGTAAGGCTAATGGTATAAAGTGAACGTCACGTGCAGTAATGTATTTAAGAGTGTAACATCTGGTCTTGCATTTATTTTAAATCACCATCTACTCCAGAGACTGGAGCTTCTAAATAAGCTTGAATGCTGATAGGGTTTACTTTATCTTTTATGTACTACATCACTCTACAAATCAAAGTTATTCAGGCTTTTGTTTTGTGAAGGTCGTAGTGCAAGGTATACCAGAGGTTTCTCGAGCTGTCATTCATATTGATGAACAAAGTGGTAAGGAAAAATACAAACTTCTAGTTGAAGGTGATAACCTGCGAGCTGTTATGGCTACTCATGGAGTGAAAGGAACGAAGACGTCCTCTAACAACACTTATGAGGTAAGTGTTCAAATGGATACTATGTTTTTTTCCCTGTAGTGCCTTTCTTACAAGTGCTTGTTTGTGTTCAGATGCAGCAATTTATAGCTGATCAAGCCTGATTTCAGTAGCAGTTGTCAGAATGTATTAACAGAAGAGAATAATTCTGCTGGCAGCACTATTCACTTCTAAGAAGCCTTTTCTGAAAATATTTTGAAAACTGAGAAATACAAAATGGTAGCAATGGAACCTGTGTTCTACTGATGTCAGATAATATTTGCTCCAGAAACATATTTGCTCCAAGCATTTGGTTTGCTATTAATCCAATAAAATCTTTCTTCTAGGTAGAGAAGACGTTAGGAATTGAAGCTGCTCGAACCACCATAATCAATGAGATTCAGTATACAATGGTGAACCATGGTATGAGCATTGACAGGAGACATGTTATGCTGCTGTCTGATCTAATGACATACAAGGTTTGTACTATGCTTTTTCCCGATGCTGCATTGGGAAATTAATTCAAATTAATCTTACTACATTTGGGAAGAATAGGAGTCAGCTAGGACGATGGGAATGAGTTATAGGTGGAAAGAACTGTATGTTATACTATCCAAATATTGTTGCTTGTATATCAAACAAAATGGTTAATTAATCTAGTTCTTGAAAAAGTAGATCTGTTTTGATTGGAAAAAGTTGATCTAGGGAGTAGGGCATCATAATTTCACCTTGGAAACCTGAAGCCTAAAAATCGTGGGATGAACTGTGCGGGTAGCCACACGTGCGACTCAAGGCTTGTCATGCACAAAACCACATGAGGTGTGGTTCATAGCAGCTGCACTGTGTAGAAGGATCAAAGGATACAGGCTTTACGAGTAGAATCAGATTTCATGTAGATTATGAACAATCTTCCAGAACTTGTTAATATGAGAATCATATCTGCTCTTTATTGATTGATTTTTATCCTTACCATCCAATATGTTTTTGATATATTTGAACATATAATTTAAATATATTTGACTTAGTGAAGTCAGTTTTTACACTGTTGGTTGCCAGAGTGCAAGGGTTTAATTTGGGTAAAATGGACTAAGGAATTCTGGCTTCTCCCAAAACTGTAGAGCTTTGTTGTACTGAGCTGCAGCAATCCCTGGGTCTGGCTGTGCTGAGCTGCTGCACAATGGTGGAAAAGAGCAGCAGAGTGCAGTGTTTCACACTTCTGGGTTCCTAGTGTGCTTTCTTTTGTCTGTACTTCTAACGTGGGCCTCAAAACTGCGTAGAGTCTGTTACAATCAGGACATGTGGTAGAGACAGAGGCAGAAATACACCAAGTTAGTTGAAAAGTGAAGTATTTTTTTTGGAGCGTGAAAAACCAAAGTTTTAAATCTTTTGTCTAATCTCCTGGCAGCTGAAGTCAGCTTTATCAGGACAATAGGCAGTAGCTTCAGCAAAGTGCTTTTATAGCACTGGTCTGAGACACCACAGCAGTTTGTAGCTCAGCAACTGATTTATGACTGTGTGTTTTCTCTCTTGTTCATGTGTCTTTCATTTGTTCCAATATTCTTGTTTCAAAAACAATCTCTTAACAGTCTATGGCAGGTTCTGTAGTTTACAAATAATTGCTTCTGTTTTATTTAAATGTTGATAACTGCCAAACTATTAACCTTCACGATGTTTAATTGTGAAGCAGCGTATTAGGAAGTATACTAACCTTTTTATTTACTACTCTTTTTTTCATTTTTTTTTTTTTAAAACAAACACTGCATTTCTGCTGTCCACTTACGTTATTTCTTTAGCAAGTAAAACTGACCTCCATCCACTATCATGACAGTCTTTCTCTGGGTTTCTTCATCAATCAAGGGTGAAGTGCTGGGCATTACTAGGTTTGGACTGGCAAAAATGAAGGAAAGTGTTTTGATGCTGGCTTCTTTTGAAAAGACTGCAGATCATCTCTTTGATGCTGCCTACTTTGGACAGAAGGATTCTGTTTGTGGTAGGTATTGCAAATTCTGTTGCAGCTTGTGTTCCTTATTCAGCAGCTGTAAAACCGTTTAAAGCCCTTTGCTAAGCTTTCTGTTCCACTTGTGCGTCAAAAACGTTAGGACTGAGGCTGGTCCATACTTGATCCTAGAAGTCTGATAGATGTTTCTCTACAGATTGCCTTCCACTGTCGATCAGAGGTCTTGAAGTCAGATGGGCATCTGTCTTACATTTCTTAAGTAGATTTTGACCAATCTGTATTTTCTTCTTCTTTCCTTTTCATTAGGTGAAATACCAGGAAATTTGTCCCGTTCTTGATTTATTTGCTGAAATCAGTACTTTTTTTGCACTGCAAAGATTTGTTTATCTTCAACACGTAGAGCTCATTGGGGAAGCTAGTACCTCATTCACTATTTAGGTTTCCTTTTAATTCCTACTAAGAAGCTGGAAGACATTTACTTTTCAGGTAGTGTAGCTGACTGTGGTACCCTGCATGACGATAGCTTACATGAGTTCATCAACTGTAACTAGAAAGTACAGGAAGGCAGAAGCCTTGACCTCTTCAGTTCTGATCCAAAGAGGTAATTTTTTTTTTTTTTTAAATTAGAACTCCTATTTATCGAGGGTATTCATTAGCAGAACAGAGAAGATCATCTTCTGAATTTCTTTTGAAATATATTTGTTTTTGAGTGTTAAAGATTACTTCATTAATATCCACTGAATCTTCATCTCACTGAATTAATGAAATAAACTAATTGGAATTTAAAATGCATATTTATTACATGAGCACACACGCACACATGCATGCAGACAAACAGAACATCATTGCTTGTGTCTTAGTTTGAATAGTTGAGTTTTGTTATTCTTTCTCTTGATTTTGAATTTCTGCTGTGTACTCTAATATTTGGAACTGAAATTTTTTCTCCTTTTTCCTCTCCTTTCCCCCATTCTTCACAGATTTAATTCTCCTTTATATTACACATCTGTTGGGATGGTTTGTTAACAAGTCTGTAGTAGATTAAACAGAAAAGGAGAAGGCAGGCAGGTTTCATTCTCTTCAGCGTAGGTTTATGTAAGGCCTACCATCCTGGAGGTGTAATTGCCCCTTTGGATTTTCTGGGTGCTACTGAAGTATAAAAATACTATAACATAGTATGTTAAAATTTATTAGTTTATGTGTTTTTTTCTAGGCGATCTTAAAAATGCAATCAAATTTATTTAATGTGCTGTGGACAGAATATATTCTGAATAGCAGGAATCTGGTAGAAACCTTTGTTTTACTAAAGAAAGTATTTCTTTATTTCTGTATACAGAAATACAGTATTTCTGTATTTTAAGAACTCTTCCACTTTCTGGCTGTCCAGTCTTCCACGTGAGTGAGATTTTATTAATGTTTGTTTTTATTATTCTGCCTGTGTTGTTAAAGCAAAGGTCCTATGGCGGACTGATTCCATCCTGAACAGTAAGGAAAGGAAAATGTTTTCTCAAAGTCCCCTCTGAGGTGGTAAAATCTTGTTTTGCATAATGTGAAAACCGAAGATCTTTTTATGTTGTCCTCTATATTAATGTCTTAGCTCAAATGAGGGAATGAATTGGACAGAACAGAAAATTGTTGACCGTCTTCCAAAATTGAAGAGATGATACTGGCTTACTTTTAAGAAAAACTGCTGTGCAGCTGCTTGACCTGGGCATCCCTGGTTATCCCTTTGAATTGCCAGGAAAAGAGACTGTTACGTGCTCACATTGTTGCATCTCCAGAGCAGGAAAAGCTTATAAGCTCTGCCAAGAAAATTGAGCCCAAAATCAACTATAGGTGCTGAATTAAATGGCATCTCAAATCAGTGCTTCTCCAGAATGTGTGGATGTGGCCTTTGAATCCCTTTCGTCTTGTAAGATGTCTTTTTTTTTCCCCTGAGAAAATGGGGTACATCTAATTCCTCCTGTACCAACATAAAGACAAGCGTTTTCGTGCTGCTGCCAGCTCCCCATGGGCAGAGTGGCTGAGGAATGCATCCAGTTCCAGCCACCTCCACTGTAGAAGCAGCATCAGCAGGTTCATCAGGACAGGCTGTCTGTGGGAGATGCAGCCCATTTACCTTTCTGTCCCCTTTCCAAAGAACAGTCAACAGTATTCTCATTTCTAACTGAAAAGTGGGAGCTGAGAGCTACAGATCATCGCTGTGACCTTCATTTATGAAGAGGTGCCCCAGGAGGGAGATGTCAAAAATGCATGCTGTTTGCAATATGAGCAGTAAGACTGACTGTGTCTCTACCTAGCTTCTTCCAGCTGAAAGCGACAGCAGCAGTTCATAGCTGTCAGCCAGCTGCTTAGATCTGCGATAGATTGTGACTGGTAGCGTTATGAGAAATCGCACTGAAGGAGTCTGGAGATGGTCATTAGAGCAGAGTGTACTGTCCTGGCAGTTTTTCTGCCCTCATCAACTGCACTGCCCCCACCCATCTGAAATGATTGTCATCGGTTCGTAGTGCACATTAGTGTGAGCAGATACATCGTTATGTACTGGTTGTTACAGCAGCATGCCCTGTCCAAACGTTTCCTGCTCTACCTGAGCAGCGCTAGGTGCTGCAAGCTGTTACTTTGTCCATGAGGTAAAAAGGGAGGTGATAAGGAAGGGCTTGTCGCTTAAGCTTGTGGCTTATGCATCTGTTTCCTGAGGTGGAAGGAGAGATGGAAGCATTGGTAGGAGAGAAGGATTCTCAGAATCCAAATGCCCTTTCCACTGGTTCAGAGATTGGCTCAGCTTGAAAGGTTATTGTGCAGACCTAGTTTTATTATGAAGTTTTATTTCATTAAGTGTTAGAGAGGTGTTTATAGTTTGCTTTATAGGGTGTTATAGGGGCTGTATAAAATAGTGGGTGTAAGTATATGGTAGGTAACTTTTTAATAATTCATATTATGCACCATATTTTTAAGGGCTTAATGTAGGAAAGCATGCAGTGGAAATGCAGCAATGGTCTAAGAACAAAAATATTGTATCTTCTCATACATTTCTTAAACTGAAATTATGAAACCCTGCCAAAGTTTTCAGAAAACTTATTTTTATTTTAGGATGTGCATTCAAATGTACAGTTTTTTTATTGCTTATAGATTTAGAACATTTTATAAAATGTTTATATGAAGGATATAAACATGCTCATACCCCTGAGAATATGTGAAAGTATCATTTGGATCATAACAACATGCAGAGACAAAAACACTGGTTTCTTAATTAGTAGTTACAATGTTTTATAAGAACACAAATTCTCTGGAAAAGCACTATAGGTAAGTAGATCTGGAATATAACTGTATGTCAGCACATTGGTGCAAAAAATATTATAGCTATCAAAAATAATTGGCACAGATTAAATACGTATACTCATACATTCAAAATAAGCATTTTTTGAACCACGAGTGTTTAAAAAAAAAACAAAACAGATTAGTAAAACTAAAGCTGTAAGTACTCCTCCTTCACTGTTAAACTACAGGAGTTTCAGGGGAACTTGGCCAAATTTGACTAAAGTCTTTGTGTTGAGTCAGAGAAGGAACATAAAATAACTTTGTCCTGCGACTTCTGCAGGTGGTAATAGGTAGAATGTGTCTTCTCCAAAGACAAACATTCTGATGTGATTTCATTGGTAGATAAAGTGTTTAAGTTACATTGTTTTTTCCTAAGTCCAAAATTTAAATAACACTGATTGTATGATGTATTGATCTAACATTCTGATGACCATAACATCATAGAGATGTTGGTCTGTACGTGTGAGGTTTGAGGAGATTTGATAGGGCAATATATATAAAGTGGGCAAATGAAAATAGTTTTGAAAATCTTTACTTTTCAGATATTTCAACTTCTTTTCTTTCCCCGTAGGTGTGTCTGAATGCATCATCATGGGAATTCCGATGAATATCGGAACGGGACTTTTCAAACTGTTACACAAAGCGGACAAAGAATCAGCCCCTCCTAGGAGGCCTTTGATATTTGATAATAATGAGTTTCATATTCCCATTGTTACATAGCAATTACAGACCAGAACAAAGAACAGCAGGAGAACATATAATTTAAATTAGGGAATGTATATTATCAGTTCTATGTGTCTCAAAATAACTGAATTGGTAAATGAAATACTGTCAAAAGAACTGCCCAGTTGTTTACCACCTGTTGTTTCTACAGACTAAAAGGAGAGGCTTCTCTGCACCAGAGAGTAGAAAGTAATTTAAAGTGAATCTCAGCTGATAGAAAAATTTTCTTTTTATGTGCTAGAATTTTCCATGCTACAAATTAGCAATATGCCTTGGGAAGAGCATTGTTTGTTTGTTTAAGAAGTGTTTAGTTTATGTTGGCATTACAGGAAGTGTCAGTAAAACTAGCTGGTCACCAAATAAGACTGTGTTAAAGTAGGAGGATACTGGGAAGTACTTGCAGTCATATATGTGGGGGAAAATCCCCAAAGCCATTTACCTTGTTAAGGTACCTTGCATGAACCAGAAAAGTAACTTCAAGGTAATACATGTTCTCTTAAGTCAAAATATATCCACAGTTTTGAATATGCTAATAGCAGTGGGCAAAGTGGCAAATTAAGGATAGGTGATGTGTGAGATGTTCTTGGCATTCTTCCTAACTGAAATCCCCTTTTAACTCCACTTTTAAAGATTTGTATCTGGATTATTGAACCCCATGAGAAATAATGCTGCCGCAGAAGATATTCTTGTGGCAGAACTACAGGAAAGGCTAAACTGCGTGTTAGAACATGGTGTTTTAAGAAAGAAAGTGTTGCACTTGAAAATGTGCGCTTTGTGTGGGTGGATGTTAAGTGTCAAAGCTAGTGTTGCCATGCTTCGTGGTTCTAAATGCAGTGAAAATTTCCTGTAGGCAAATAGTATTGCAAAAACCTCACAGTAAATTTATAAATTGTTGGGGAAATAACTCTAAAACTTGCTGATTATTTCCTGGGGCTTGTGCTATCTAAATTTTGGAGACTGAGGAGAATTTTCCAGTATTGGTATCATGGGACCTGTATACTTTATGAAAGTTGTAATATCAGATACAGATGAAGGTAGATGCTTCTAACAGAAATATATATTCGTACAACTTACAAGTAGCCATAAAATTCTTGCAGTATGGTAGCTGATTCATTTTGAGATCTTTTTGCTATTAACTCAGTATTAGATATGCTGTGTGTTCAGATGTGATGAAAGTACTGCAGAAGAATTATGTGAGCTTTTACAGAGTGCGTTTGGAAATGGCATTTCAGCAGG